TGCAATAGCTCAAAAGAAGGAAGAGATCTTACAGCGAGGATCATTCCCACCCCTTCCATACACAGAGTAGACAGGGATGGGCAACTTGAACATTAGCCACCCAAAATGGGGAGTGGGGAACTAAAAAGGCAACAAGTGACTGGCTTACAAGCTTTCAAGAGGGAGCCTAGATCCAGAGGGTGAGGAGGAAGGTAGAATCTCCACTGAGTAGTATCCAGTCTGTCTGGGCGGGGCTGGTGAGAGGAGATGCAGATAGGTCTCTTGTAATACAGTAGAGAATAATTGCAATCAGGACTTATTGTGAGGGTTGGAAATGTAAAGGTGGACGTTTTGTAGCAAAAGGAGGGGAGTGATTGACTTTGCAGTCTAGGAGTGGAGGTTCCTGGGATCATCAAAGGAAAAGAGCAGAGAGCGGGACCCCACCCAGAGAAGCTGTGACGCCAGAGATGGAGGCAGAGATGATGATATGGAGAGATGGAGCGGCTGGGGACTCTAGACCCGGAGAGGGAAAGGGGCTGTGTGCTGATGACCAGGGGACAGGCTTGCAGGGTATATCCTTTGGTTGGTTGATGATGTATGGAAGGTATTGTAACCATGACAATGAAACGATATATGATAGGATGAATGTAAAGCCATGTTCTCCTATGTAAACTATCACATAATTCACAATAAAACATTTTTTTAAAAAATCACTGAAAACTGTATTTTCACAAAAATCTAGAACAAAAGTCTCTCCAGGTATAGGCCCTCAAGCTTATTAAAGCTTTTTTTTTCTTTTCTTTAACTTTGGTTGCTTTTAGGCCAGTATTTGCCAAGCTTGATCTTAAACTGTTTTGATTTGCATGTTTATATTACCTGCCTAGCCTTTGTAAGCATTTGAGTTTATGAAGTCTAATCTAAAAAATAAATTGTATGAAAGTTTAGCTATATCACTATATAGTAAGATTACTTAGGAGAAGCCAGGGAAGAAGATGGGTCTAGGTAACAAGTAGAAGATAAGCCCCAAGAAGAAGGAACCGTGCCTGCTGTATTCTCTGCAGTCCCCCCTAACACCTCACTGGCTGCAGTGTATTGAATGAGTGCTATGTCTTCTTCCGCACACTCCAGTACCTCTTAGCTTGTGTATTTCATGTCCCAGATTCTGTAAGTACAAGAATCATCTATTTTCCCAAGGCCCACAGCCTACTTGTTTTTGTTGTTACGTGCTGTGGAGTTGGTTCCAACTCATAGTGACCCTGTACAGGGTTTCTGAGGAGCATCTGGTGAGTTTGAACTGCTGACCTTGTGATTCACAGTCTAGTGCTGATCCTACAGCGCCATACTAGGAGCCCTCAGAATATTATACAGGTGTATAAATGGAAGTACTATGTATGTGTGTGTGTGTGTATATGTACATACATATGTATATACAGTGTATACACAATATGAAAAAATCTAGTATATACATTTGTAATTTTAAAAAAGCTACTAATCAGTATTATCTAATATGTGTATTACAAATTATATACCGATATATTGTTGTTGTTTTTGTTGTTGAGTGCTATAGAATTTACACCTGCTATAAACATTGATCCAGCTATTCCTCGGAAACCCTACACAGGGTCAATATGGGTCGCGATTGACTCGATGGCACTTAACAACAACAACATAAACACTGATAATACAGCAAGAATATTGGGAAATAGATGCAAAAGAACAAGATTATTGGCTGTTTAGGACTGGGGAAAGTACAGTGATGGTTAAAAAGATACACAGTTTCTTTTTGCAGTGATGAAAATAATTCATAGCAACTCTGTATGAGGTTTCCAATTAAAAAAATCTTTTGTCTCACTAAAAAGAAATTTAACTCTTCCTTTTTAATAGCTGTATATATGTTGTATCATAATTTAATATGCTCTCTATTGGTGGAAATTTTTTTTTTGTCTGTTACAGAAAATAGCATTGTAGTGAATATCCTTACACATTTATCTTTTTGCATTTGTATAACATAGCTGTAAGATATAAAAAAAGATTTTATCAATAAAAAATGTTACAGGTACTACCAAATTGTCTATGTCCATTTTTACAGCTATGTACACACTTAGCCCCAGATCCTGATTTCTAAATATCATTCCTGTTAAAGAGGAACTTAGTGGAATGGTTGATTCCAGATCTATCACAGGTAAAATACAAGGGGAGCTAGGATATCTTGTGCCAAAAAAGAAGGAAGTCTTCACAGCATGTAATGGGTTTTGTAAAAAGAACACAAAGAACTAGCTAGAAGAGACTGCTGGTCAAAATTGGGAGAGTTTGAGCATCGAAAAATATTATTATAACACACTGAATTAAAAAAGAAGATAATAACTCAATGCTAAGCAAAAGGTACTAGGGTGAAGGTCTTTTTAAAGAAGAATGCTAGCTAATAACTGTAGAAGGATTAATAATATTAAAACACATTCATCAATTTGCAACCCCCGCTATCATATATAAAAATAAATTTAAGTTATAGGCAAACACCATCATGGAGATTAAAATCGTGGGTCAGAGTTTGGTGGGGTAGTCCCATGATGCCACAAATTACTTAGGTATCACAGAGGGAAACCTTGCAGCTACTACCTTAACCAGACGATCAAATTCAGCATTACTGAGGAAGAGACTGAGTCCTGGTGTGATGCTACGGGTTAATGAGCTGAACTGCAAAGTCGGTTTGAACTGGCAAGGTTGGCAGTTCAAGTTCACCAGCCGCTCCTTGGAAACCCTATACAGGGTTGCTTTCAGTCAGAACCAACTCGATGGCACTTACCAACAACAACAAAATGGTGAAATACTAAGGATGAGTGTGGCATTTCAGAATAATGCACTGGACCACAAGGTCGGTGGTTCAAACTTCCCAGCCGCTCTTTGGAAACCCTATACGGGGTTGCAATGAGTCAGTATTGACTGGATGGCACTTAACAACAACAGCAAGAGTGAAACATCCTGATGTTATATGCTAATTTGGTGGATGCAGTAAGAAGTACCTAAATTATTTGCAAAGGCTTCTGTATGAAAATGTTTAACTTAATCTAATCAAGGACTCCTGGTGTGGCACTATAGGATCAGCACTGGACTGCGAACCACAAGGTCAGCAGTTCAAACCTACCAGCTACTCCTCGTAAACCTGATACAGGGTTGCTGTGAGTTGGAGCCAACTTGACAGCACTTAACAATAATATAATCAAACCTCATGCTTATCTGCAGGATTTTCTTTTATAGTTAGAATGATAGATAATCCAACTGTGTGATTTTAAGGAACCCTGGTGCCAAAATGTTTAAGCACTTGGCTACAAAGGCAAAGGTTGCACTCACTGCTCCATGGTAGCAAGATGAGACTGTGTACTTTCCTAAAGATTGTTGTTGTGTTTGTTAAGTGCCATCAAGTCGGTTTTGACTCATAGCGACCTGTATAAGGTTTCCAAGCAGTAACTGGTGAGGTTGAACTGCCAACTTTGCGGTCAAACCAACTTTGCAGTGGAGCGCATTAATTCACAGCCCCACAACAGGACTCCTCATAAAACCCTTTGAGGAAGTTCTCCTCTGTCCTGTATAGTCACTATGAGTCAGAATCAGGGGACAGCAACAGGGTTTTTTATGTGTGCAGCCTTAGGCAGATTACATTAGTAACGTCTCTAAGTCTCAGAGGCTTGACTTGTAAAACGGGTTGTAGTATCTACTCAATAGGATTATGGTGTTAATGAACCCAGATAAAAGTATGAAAAAAAAACCCACCTAGCATGTAGTTTGATGTACTGTAAGAATTTAATGTATTAGTTCAGCTCTACTGTTAGAATTAATTCATGGACACTGAATATATAATTGAATAAAAACATTTCCTTTTTTCCCAAGTATATTTTATCTAATTTTTTTGTCTAATTTGATGACATGTTTTATGAATTCTTTTTACTCACTTAGATCCATAAGCTAATGAAGTTTTGTTAAATCTCAAATGTTCAGAGGAGATTTTAACTAGGAGAACATGAATACAACATACTTTTACTCTAGAATTCTATATTATGAAATTACTGAGTTTATAACTCCAAATTGTCAAATATCGGCAATTGGATGTGTTTCAACTTAATATGTACTCTAATGGCAGTAGCTGTAGCTCAGTCCGTCATCTCTATTTACCAAGCAGCAGTCTTCCCTCTCCCCCCCTTATAGTGTCTAACCTCAAGGTCAGCAGTTAGAAACTACAGCTGTTCTGCAGGAGAAAGTTGAGGCTTACTTTAAAGATTTGCATAAAGATTTGCAGCTCCCATAAAGATTTGCAGCCTCAGAAACCCTTTGCAGGGTCACTGTGAGTCAGAACTGACTCCATGGTTCTGACAACAACAAACCCTTATGGTTTTAGAGAAAATTTTGCTCATAAGAGGAAAGAAGAACTTCAACTGATCTAATCTGAAAGGAATTGTGCTGTGGAATGATACTATAATTATTGTAGGATGTTTCTTTTCATATATACCATATACAATAGTTAATATTTTCAATCACTTTTTAACCTCTTATGTTTTCCTTCTGAGTAATAAAATGGTGGAGAAGGGAAGGTAACCTTACTTTGGCCCTCTGTTTTCACTCTAAACTCTGGATTGGTCTTTTTGAATAGCCAGTTTCAGAATCTTGAGAATTTGAGAGAATATTCTAAAAATAACAATGAAGCAGTAACTCAAGGAATTTGGAAGAAAACTTTCAGACTTTAAGGGAGTCTTTAAGTTATTGCTTCATAGCAAGAATCCTCCCTGAGATATGGTCCTTGTAATAAGGTCCGTAATTGTTTTCCCATTAAAAAATGACTAATCTTCCTTAATGTATTTTGGGTAAAATGTATATCATTTCAATATTCCCAAGCTGCCTTTTTATCTCCTCAAACAGGAAGGGATAAATTCTTTGGAAGACCTTTCCTCTTAAGGAAATGTGGTCAAACCTATGTTATTAATATCCTTATTTATTGACAAACCAAATTACTCTCAATGTCCCAGACAGCTGCTCAGGAGGCAATCTTGCATGCATCTGGAAATGGCAGCACTTTACCATCGAAGGACTACTGCATGCTGTATAACCCTTACTGGACAGTTCTTCCAAGTACTCTAGAAAATGCAGTAAGTAAATCATGGCTTTTATTTATTCTAGAGATACAAATTTGAAAATGTGTGGATAAGTGACAATTATGTTATAGTGTGTGAAGTAGTGGTAATAACATAGGATGATTATTTATTTTGCATAAGTGTGTTACTTTCCTCTGGAAAGAACAAGTTGGGAAATTTCTAAATATGTTTAAGCCTGGTTGTTAGCCATAAGACATTTCTAATTTAAAAGAATGTTATATTATTAAATCAATACAGGTATGTTTCTCGATCGTTGCACAATACTTATCATATTAATAGCATTTTTTAATTTTTAGACTTCTGTTACTTTGATGAATCTGACTACCACACCACTGTGCAATCTATCTGATATCCCTCCTGATGGGATAAAGGACAAAGCAGTTGTGGTGCAGTGGGGAACCTGCCATTTTCTTGAAAAAGCCAGAATTGCACAGACAGGAGGTGCTGAAGCATTGTTGATTGCCAATAATAGTGTCCGAGTAAGTTGTAAAACTATAATTGCTTTTTTGTGTGTGGGTTTATGACATTCAATTTCACAGGAATTGAATTAATTTCTGCTTATGTATGTGCTTATGGGCTGAGTTTTGAAGAGTCTAATGGTTCTTTTTGATGAAAAGTTCTGGGTTTGGTGGGCATTTAATTAGAAATTTTTATAGTTTTTGTACTGTCCTAGAATAGACAAGACTTGGTTAGAAACAAATTAAATCTTAAGTCCCAGGAATGTACCAGGGGTGTGCTGTTACAAGGTAACTGGACTGCTTAGGCAGGAAAGTTGATAGTGACTGATAGTGCCGATTTTGTACATATTCATACATTTATTCATTTTAGGTATGTGCATGCAGATCAGTTTTAAGTTTATGATAAAAGGTTTCTGGTTTTCCTTTTTTGATTGATCAATCTAGTTATCCAGTTTTTTTCATTTTGGCTGATTTTTCTTTTTTCAAAGAAAATCATGTTTTTGATACCTCTTACTATAATGGACAATATTGGTGTTTTTAAGTGCTGTCGAGTTAAGTACTGTCCAAATCATAGCGACCCTGTATAGGAGTCCTGGTGTGGCGCTTTGGGTTAATGCACTAGACTGCAAGGTCGGTTTGAACCTCAAAGTCGGTGCTTCAAGCTCACCAGCCTCTCCTCAGAAACCCTACACAGGGTAGCTATGGTTCAGAACAAACTCAACAGCACTTAACAACAACAACAACATAGGGTTTCCAAGGAGTGACTGGTGAGTTTGAACCACCAACCTTTCAAGTCAAACCATCCTTGAGGTTGAATGTTTATCCTACAGTGCCACACCAGGAAGCCATTGTATAATATTAGGAAGGAAAATGTGAAACTTTGCTTAATACTTTTTATAAAAAGATGTAATATTTGTATTTAATGAATTGTTTAATATGATGACGTTATTCTGTAAGTATACTAGACATTCATAAGTTTTAATATGATGTTTTTTTCTTTCAGTATCCTCCCTCAGGGAACAAATCTGAATTTCATGATGTCAAAATATTGATTGCATTTATAATCCATAAAGACTTTAAAGATATGAAGCAGGTAAATTAGTAACTATATTAAATGAAGGTTATTAATAGTACAGCTCTTTACATTTAATCACTGATATTTAATTTGAATTATTATATGTGTTCTATTTACTAACAAGAAACTATAAAGATCTGTCACATTTTTATTTGGAAAGTACTTACCTCCTATTTGGTACAAGTTATCTCAGAGCCATTGTATTACAAAAGAGGATTATTTGTTTTGACTTGTTTTATAATATCTTGGCACATGTCATTTATCTTTACTTTAAATCCTTGATAACAAAATGTGATTGTATGGAACACTGCACTTTTAAGATTCAATTTAAAAAAAAAAAAAGATACAATAAACCAAAGCATTAATTTTTAAAAAATCACTGCCATTGAGTCAGTTCCCACGCATAGCGGCCCATATGGGAGTTTCTGAGGCTCTAAATCATTATAGAAGCAGCCTCATTTTTCTCACACAGAGTGGCTGGTGGGTTCGAATTGCTGACATTGTTGTTAGCAGTCCAAAGCCCAATTCCAGGGAATGTATCGCGGTGTCAAACATAATTCTAATATTCTTGTAGAGCATCCATCCTAGAATGAAATGTAGAATATTGCTGCCATTGAATTACATTGTTGGTGAAGAATACTGGTAATATCATCACTGCCAGAAGAACAAATAAATCTGTCTTGGTAGAAGTGCAGCCAGATGCTCTATAGAAGCAAGAATGACAGGACTTCATCTCTCATACTTTGGACATGTTGTTAGGATGGCCTAACCCTTGGAGAAGGACATTTGGTAAAGTAAAGAGTCAGCAGAAAGGAAGAAGACTTCTGAAGAAGATGATTGGCACAGTTCCAGCAACAAACAGCTCAAACATAACAAGTGTGAGGATGATGAAGGATTGGGCAGTGTTTCATTCTGTTGCTAGGAGTTGAAACTGACTCGATGTCACCTAACAACAACCATAACAACTCTACAGTAGAAAGAAAATGAATTCCTGTGTTTACTTTGAACTTTGTCTTTCAGACTCTTGGCGATAACATTACTGTGAAAATGTATTCTCCATCATCGCCTAACTTTGACTATACTATGGTAGTTATTTTTGCCATTGCTGTGTTCACTGTGGCATTAGGAGGATACTGGAGTGGACAAATTGAATTGTAAGTTTAATTAAACTTCAGTGATTTTTCTGATAAATGGTTAAAAAAATTATTATTTGATAATTTTAATCATTTAACATCTAAAAATTTTACCTGACCTCAGCCTGTAGTGTCAGTAAGACGAGATTTCATGCATGGCCTTGTATAGATCATTTATGTTTTCTTGAAGAAGAGAGTCAAAAGTCATCTTATCTTTTCTGTTGACAGGGCAACGTTGAAATCATAGCAAAGTCCCTTTAACTTAAAATGTTTAATTCTCTCTCCCTTGGAAGCCAGAGCTACTTAATACCCTAACATGCTTATTTGCTTAGATTGGAGGAAAAGATGGGGAATTTTTTGGCTCCTCTTGAATTTGGCCATGACAGTGTGGCCTCATCTTTATGTTTAATGCTTTAGGCATTCTAAGACTATGTGACATTAGTGTTTTAATTTATATATAAACCCATTACCTTTGGTCAAATGGATCCCAGACTAAGGGCAACAGTATAGGACACAGTATTACTGCTCCGTAGGGTTTCCAAGGCTGAGAATCTTTACAGAAGCCAGCTTACATCTTTCTCCCAGGGAGCAGCTGATGGGTCTGAACTGCTGACCTTTCACTTTGCAGACAAGTGCTTAACCACTGCTTCACCAGGGTTCCTACTTTACATACAACGATTCCAAATGCACATACATTTGGATTTCCCTATTTAATAACTGCCTGAACCCAATATTCTTATAGTTAGATATCTTTGACTCTATATTAATGCAAACGGTATAGTCTAGAAGGATCATTTTTCATAACCAGATGAAAACATTTGTTCAGAGCACATTGTTTCATACATAAAGGACAGTATATTTACCTTGTGACTTCATTTATATGTTCATAGAAAAAGAGCTTGTTTGTAACTAAATGAAGCCAAGCTTATTTGTAATTCTCAAAATACTATAATTTACCTACATCAAAAAGGAAATCTTAGAAGTTAACAAGTATATGTTTCTGGAGTACTGAGCTTTGAATATTTTACATATATAGAAAGCATGTTTCAACATAGATTGGTCACCTTTGTTTGATGTGTGTAAGTATTGTTTTTGCCCCTTTTTTAATTTTAAAAAACATAGTGTATAAGAAGATATCTAAGATTATTTTCCAGATTACTTAGTGAAACATTGGAAATAATTTTTTAAAAACTATCTATTCATTCAAAATGTTTTCTTCTTCAATACAGATTCTGATTGTACGTATATTTCTAGGTAAATTGTGTTTATTCTCTAGAGTTGTCCTTCTCAAACTATAACATACATACAAAATTTTGGAGATGTTGTTAAATGCAAATTCTGATTTAGTAGGTTTGGATTGGGAGCCAAGATTCTACATTTTCCCAAGCATCCAAGTGATTTTTGCTGGCCCATGTACCATACTTTGAGTTAGCAAGGCAAGCGTCTTCATATACATGTCAGGACAAACTCCTCAAGAAAATTAGAGATGAGACCGAAGTACCTATCAGCTTTTTTACTCATGGGTCAGAATCATGGGTCAGGAAGAAAGAATTTGGCTCCGTACAATAAGTACTGTATACAGGAGAGCAGAATTCAGGAGACCAGAATTGAAGGGACTTGAGCTGGAGCAATATGGAATGGGTTTCAAGAAACAAGAGAGGAGACAGCCAGGTTGTTGGGAGAATTAGAAACAATATTTTTCTGTCTTAAATAAAAGTGGGTGAGCACAGAGTAGGCATGTAGTATGTTTGGAGTTGACTGATTGGAGATTTTAATGTTTACATTGAAGAGAAGCTAATTTTAAAAGTGGTGGTGTGGTTATGTGCCGTGGAGTCAGTTCCGACTCATAGCCACCCTGTGCAGGGTTTCTGAGGCTGTAAATCTTTACAGGAGCAGAAAGCCTCATCTTTCCCCCACAGAACAGCTGGTAGTTTCAAACTGCTGACCTTAAGATTCGCAGCCCTATTCGTAACCACTACGCTACCAGAGCTCCTTAATTTTAAAAGTTTTATCTGTAAATTGACAATAAAAAAATATATAGAAAGAATTGGTTGTGACTTAAAAGTTGTCACATCATATAGTTGCCAAATTAGATCATGTGAACTTCCACAGACATTGTCACATGTTTCAACAATTTAGCTTTCAGAAAAATTGCTTCTTCAAAAGTTAGTGATCAATAATGGATCATCTCTAGAGGGTAGACTTGCAGGAAGTTTTCACTTTCAAAATTAAGTATTTCTTTCCTGTGTGCAGTTTTTTGTTTTGTTTTTCTGTTTTATTATGAATTATATGATAGTTTACATGGGAGAACATTAGCTTTACATTCATCCTATCATATATCGTTTCATTGCCATGGTTACAATCCCCTCCGTGCATCATCAACCAACCAAAGGGTGTACCCTGCAAGCCTGACCCCCGGTCGTCAGCACACAGCCCCTCTCCCTCTCTGGGTCTAGAGTCCCAGGCTGCTCCATCTCTCCACGTCATCTTCTCTGCCTCCATTTCTGACGTTACTGTTTCTCTGGGTAGGGTCTTGCACTCCGCTCTTCTCCCTTGATGGTTCCAGGGACCTCCGCTCCTGAATTGCAAAGTCAATCACTCCCCTCGTTTTGCTACAAAATGCCTACCTTTACATTTCCAACCCTGTCAGTCCTGATAACAATTATTCACCATTATACCACAAGGGACCTATCCCCATCTCCTTTCATTAGCCCCACCCAGATTGGATACTACTCAGTGGAGATTCTACCTTCCTCCGTACCCTCTGGATCTAGGCTCCTTCTTGAAAACTTGTAAGCCAGTCACTTCTTACCTTTGTAGTCCCCCTATTTTGGGTAGCCAATGTCCAAGTTGCCCATTCCTGTCTACTCTGTGTATGGAGGGGGTGGGAATGATCCTCGCTGTAAAGATTTGTTCCCTCTTTTGAGCTGTACGTCAAGTTCATCAAATTGTATCAGATTACTCTTTTTCCTCTTCTTTCTTCTTCTAGTTGAGCTCTGATCATCCAGTCATTGAAGCCCGGTCAGTTGGGTATTAGATAATACAAATGTGGGTGTTCTTGTGCATATGCCTTCTCTTTTTATCAGCTGGATGCTTCACTCTCCACTCTAGTCCTCTGTGGCTATATCACTGACTCTGGGCCCAAGAGTCCCCAGGTCTTGCCACACTGCTGACCAACCAGGTCTCCACCCGGGTTCACAGGAGTCCATTGAACGTTGTAGGACTTAGCTCACAGCTTCATTGTTGTTTTTTCTTCACTTCCCCTTATCGGGGATGAACGTGGTCACCAATCAGAGTACGTATTCCCATTGAGTCTTAGTCTTGGAAGGGGGTTTGCCCTGAGGGGACCCGACCACTTGCCTTGATGTTTCCTGGGCGAGCATCTTGTTTGTTCTTGTAGTAATCAGTTGGTCTGCCTATATTGTTTTGTATTTTACCTGTTGGTCTTTTTTTCAAGAAGTATCTTCTGTTCTTCTAGCCACTCCAGGCTGGTCTGCTTGTCCTTTAAAGTTAAAATTTCCCACCTCAGGAGATTCTAGAGGTGGTTCAGTATACCACCTATGGTCTTATGTAATGCAGAAGCTCCGCAGAAAGCCTCCCTTCACTGGGCATGTTGAAGCCCCATTTTAGGTATTCCAGTCAGTTATAGGCAGAAGACGGACTTACTAGCTTTCTAAGGTGATATTTCTGGCTATTCCTTTCTCTCCCCCCACAAGTGTCTATTTTATAATGGTATGCAAGGAAAACCAAGATTCAAAAGACAGCTAAGCATCTTCACATTATTTCCCCCCTTTTTCCCATTCCAACCATGACTCAATCCCTGTATCCCAAAGCCCTGTTTTTCCAAGGTTGTTCATACATCATTATTTACCTCTGTTCCACTTAGCCCATGCAAATCTGCCTAATTGTTTTCCCATCTGCTTTGTTTCTTCCATTCCCTTCCCCCTTCTTGTGTATTGCCCCCCTCCCTAGCACCCAAACTATCCTGTGTCTATTCTCTGCCCTGTGCTCCACCTTCTCCTCCCCCCTTACCCCACCCGGTGTGCAGTATTTTTAAAAAATACATTATTGTTGTAATAAAAAAACCTGTAAATTGTTGTTAGAAATGAATTTTTTAAAATAACCATAGTTGACAGAGATTTGATGAAGTTTCTGTGTCTGTTCACCTGTGCAGGGAAAGCTTGAAAGCAATGACAAACACTGAAGATAGAGACGTGAGGAAAAAGAAGGAGGAATATTTAACTTTTAGTCCTCTTACAGTTGTAATATTTGTGGTCATCTGCTGTGTTATGATGATCTTACTTTATTTCTTCTACAAATGGTTGGGTAAGAAGTCCTATGTTTGTTGCTTGTAGCATACATTCTTTTTACTTACTTTGCCACATTTATCTTTTCCTTTAAGGCATTCTAACTGGAAAACTTAACTGAATAGCTTATATTCCTTTTTCAAAAATAGTCAGAAATGTTAGATCTCTGTTGATGGTAGTGGTGGTAGTTGTGTTTTGAGTCAGTTCTCATAGCGACCTTGTATAGGGGTTCCAAGGCTGTAAATCTTTACAGGAACAAAAAGCCTCATCTTTCTCCCACTGAGTAGCTGGTGGATTAAAACTGCTGACCTTTTGGTTAGCAGCCCAGTGCATAACCCACTATGCCAGCAGCGCTCCTTTAGATCTGTGTTACCCTGAGATAAAAAATACTCAGATAAAGGCCTACTCTGTCGACAGATAAGAGCACTTCTTTTAGATGACTTGAAAGAATTGCTGTGGTAATGTAAGTTTCCATTCCTGAAAACAATGCATTGACAGTCCAGTATTTAAGTAGTAGACTAAAGATTTCTTGGTGGCGATATTTAGTTAGATGAAATAGAAGATTATGCAAATTATTGGTATGTTGCCTCTGCTTATCCCCAAATTATAGTTTCTCCTTTTGTCAGTTTGTAAATCAAAATGTTGTATTGCTTGATTTTTGCTTTACTTGTTCAGTTACTCAGGATCATGGTACATGTGAAACACACAAGTACTTGCCTGTGTTCTAGAGAGCAACTTACTGTTTTTCCTTTAAGAATTCATTGGTAAGAACTCTAATTAGTTGCCTACACCCTGGATGCTGTTGTTAAGTACAGTCAAGTCAGTTTCAACTCATAGTGACTCTTTATAGGGTTTCCAAAGGAGCAGCTGGTGAGCTTGAACTGCCAACCTCAGAGTTCAAGTTGACCTTGCAGTCAGCACATTAACCTGCAGAGCCACAATTGCTAATGTTCTAATGGGATGAAAATTTGCTATCCTAGCCAATATACAGCACGAGAGGAAGGAAACCAGGGGAAAAAAGAGTATGCTTGAAAAGAAACAGAAAAAAATTTGTTGTAAGACCACCAAAGCTTACAATTCCTCTATTTAAAGACATTAGCAGAAACTTCTAGATTAGAAAACTGAGGCTCTAGAGTTAGTTTTAGTTGATTGTTTACTACTTCTGTAGCAAAAGCACAAAAAATGAGACCTCTGAAAAATATACTTCCAATTAAAAAAAAAAAATCATCCTATTTCAATCTGTTGTTGGGAGAGTGACTACTAGGATGTTTATATTTTGTTGGCATTGGGCAGCTAATTTTTCTAATTTAATACTCAGCCTTCAGTTGTTTATGTCTGTTCCTTAGTTAATAAATTATTGACATTTCATAGAAAACAGAGTTCTTCATCCTGCCCTGAAACATGTACTTGGGGAGAAGTTTCCTTTAGCTGAGCACTAGTTAAAATGCTGATTGTTGTTGTTAAGTGCCATCAAGTCAGTTCTGGCTCATAACTACCTTGTATAGGGTTCCCAAAGTGGCTGGTGGGTTTTAACTGCCAACCTTACAAATTACAGTCCAGTGTCTCTCCTACAGCACCACACCAGAACTCCAAATGGTAGATTGTTACGGTTGTCCTTGAAGTGTTGTCAAGTCAGTTCCTACTCAAAGGAGCAGCTAGTGAATTCTAACTGCTGACCTTGCAGTTAGCCATCCAGTGCTTATTGTGCAGCACCATACCAGGACTCCCCAAAAGTTGGTAGTTTTTCTTAAATATAAGTTTTAGTGTAGGAGGAGGATCACTGGGACTCACAGTATCCCAAGACATGGGATTTATGACTCTGGCAATGGTTTGTGTGGTATTAAAATTTTATTTTACCTTCAGATGGTTCTATGTGGCTACAATTGCTTTCATTTCTTATAATATTAAATAAGAGAGGGTACACTAGATTGCTAAGGTGACCCTTGCCATTTATGATTACTCATGTTCAGGAAAGTAACTTAATGATGCGTTCAATTAATCAAATTCTGTCCCATGTCTAATAATTTTCTTAGGCATAATCTGACATTGAATGACACACCTAAAGCTCTCTTAGGGCCTCAAGAGCATGATTTCCATCAGTGTTTTAAAAAAACTTGGATTGGACCACTTTGCTGATGACATACTAAATCTAATTTGGCAATCTTTGACCACTTACTACTCAAGTTACCATAAACACACACCTCCTATAATAATAAAAACAACTGCAAATAACACCTACATAAAACTTGTTATGTGCCAGGTATGGGTCTGAGCACTTTGCATATAACTTTGCGTTCAATCCTCATGATAATCATGAGATAGGTATTACTACATTTCACTTTTACAGATGAAGGACTTGAGGAACTGAAACAGTAATTTGTCCATAGTTACCAATTAGAAAGTGGCTATCCTTGACTGAGAGCCTCTAGCTTGTTAGCCCTTCCTCATCTATACAGCAAAACGATAGTTTCTGAAGTTTAGTGGAATTTGAAATACTGAGGTAAAATTTGTATTTTCCACTATGAATTTTTATGTATAATGATTCATCCCCTTTTTAATAAAAGAGAAGTCACAATATTTTTCATTTTAAATAATTCTCAAATAAATACAGATAATTTAGAAAAATACTTGTTGATTTTAATTACCTGGGTATCATATCCTAACCAAGAGGTGTGTTTAAATGGATTTGGCTTTACCACAGGCCTAGTTATTCCAGATAAAATCCCACTATAGGGAAATACAGATAACATGTTTTTTTAAAGTAATGTATTTATTTTGTTGAAACCGGCCTATTCAAGTTTCTACACATGTACATCAGTGACAGTGATTACCTTCTTCTGTTTTACAACCGTTCTTACCTTCCTTATCTGAGTTGTTCCTTCCCTATTAACATAAACTCATTGCTCCTCAGACTCTTATCTAGTCTTTGAGTTACTGTTGTGAATTTGATCCCATGATCATGCTCAGTTGGAATACTGGTGTAGTGCTGTAGGATAAGCACAGGACTGCTAACCATAGTGTAGGTGGTTCAAACCCAGCAGCTACTCCTTGGAAACCCTATACAGGGTCATTATGATTTGGAACCAGCTCGCCAGCATTTAACAACAACAATAACACGATTAGTCGATGTCGTATCAATTCCTATCCCTAAGCTGCGTTTTTTTAAAGTAATATTTTTAATGGTTTATTAATTTTTTGACTACTTACATGTAAATTAAGGAGCTCTGGTAGCGTAGTGGTTACAAATCGGGTTGCTAACCTCACAGTCCAGCAATTCGAAACTACCAGCTGTTCCGTGGGAGAAAGGTGAGGTTTTCTGCATCCGTGAAGATTTACAGCCTCAGAAACCCTGTACAGGGTCGCTATGAGTCGGAACCGACTCCACGGCACATAACAACAACATGTAAATTAAATAATCTTTAAAGTCTAAAACTCACTTCATAGAAATCTTTAACAAACATGTTAGTGTGAATCAGTGAATGACAGAGCCTAAAACATTCCTACTAATCAATGTATAATGGACCTAAAACAGTGAATAAAAACCTAATCTTAAAACTCAAGATCTAAATATGTTCAACCCCGCTACCATATCAGAGTACTGTATAGTCCCTCCATTTGAAGTATTATGACTCAATCAAGAAAGCTAAAGAATTAATATTGTTTATAGCAGTATACCACATTTCCTCTGTTCTCATATAATTTAGTGTCTTGTTTTTTTTCTAGTTTATGTTATGATAGCAATTTTCTGCATAGCATCAGCAACGAGTCTGTACAACTGTCTTGCTGCATTAATCCGTAAGATACCATGTGGACAGTGCAAGTATGTATCTCTTATGGGGAATCCTAGAATATTGGTATTTTTAATTTAAAACAATATAAGGAAAAATAGTGTTCAAATATGCCCGGTCTATCACACATACAGATATAGAAATCTAAATTAATTAAAATTAAATAAATGTTAATATTTCTAAGTATTATAGCCACATTTCCATTTCAAGTATTCAACAGCCACATGTAACTAGTTACTACTGTATTAGGTAAAACACCTAAAGAATATTTTCATCATCACAGAAAGTTCTGTTGAAAGTGATAAACATTTTGAAAGTGATAAACATTTTAGTATGCGTCATATGTTTTACCTAAAATCAAGACTTTTAGAGTGGTATTTCAGTAGCTTTTTTGTGACTATGACTAGTGTTTGCCTCTTCCCATATCAAGTGAACATCACATATTTTATCTCCAAGGTAAACTAACCTGTATTAATCTGTTTTTAGGATTGGATGTCGTGGCAAAAGCATTGAAGTAAGACTTATATTTCTCTCTGGACTATGCATAGCAGTAGCTGCTGTCTGGGCTGTGTTTCGAAATGAAGATAGGTATGATTATTTTAGTATTTTTGCTAGGATATCTTTATTTTGAATAATTAAGTCTTATTTATTGATCTTCATGACATTCCATTAGGAAACAAATGATGATTACCCATTTTAGAGAAAATCTTGGCTATCAAGAGCACATTTTCCACCTAGCGTCTTAAGAGCTTGTGGGTGGCCATCTAAGGTAGCTGCTATTCGTCTCTCCCAATCCACAGCAAAGAAAAGTGAAGAAAATCAAAGATACATGGAAACAATTAGTCCAAAGAACAAATGGATCACATGAACCTTGGCCTCTAAACCTTGAGACCAGAAGAACTAGCTAGTGCCCAGCTATCATTACCAATGTCTATGAAAGAGATCCTGGATAGAGTGGAAAGAAATTTTGAAACAAAACTCAAAATCATAAAAAAGATATGGCTAATTGGTTAGATGGAACCTGATGGGACCCCTGAGACTATGGCCCTTACTCACCCTTTAGGCCTGTAACTGAACTCACCCCAGTGGCTCAATTTTTAGCCAGACAATAGACAGATTTGTAAGGGAAACAATAGACTGAAGAGGTAAGTACTTACTCCTTAGAACAGTCAACTATTTGAGATCAAAAGGGCAGCATTTGCCCAAGGACAAAGTTCAGAAGACAGGAAGGGTTAGTAAAGGAGAACAATGGAAACGGGAAACCCAGGTTAGAAGTGGGATGGGTGATGCTACATTGTGGGGATTGCAATCAATGGCATGAAATGAAATGTGTATGAATTCTTGAGTGGAAAATAGAATTGCTCTATAAACGTTTACCGAAATCACAATAAAAAGTTGTGTTTTTTTTAAAAAAAAAAGGCATACACTTTCTAATATGAAATTTTAACATTACACAGAAACAGAGTTAAAATTAGTAGGCAAGAAATATTTATGTTTATTTTCTCTGACTTCAAATATTGATAAATCTAATGTGCAATTTTATTGATACACTAGATTTATCAAGATCACTTAGTCTAATTCCTTTATTTTTCTTACCTATCTCAAGATTGGAGTCCTGGTGTGGCACTGCAGCTTAATGCAATGGACTACAAGGTTGGCAGTTCAAGCTCACCAGCCACTTCTCAGAAACCCTATACAGGATCTCTATGAGTCGGAACTGACTCAATGGCACTTAAACATCTCAAGATTATTTATTTTAAAAAACTTTTGTCAGCCAATTTTAGCTCACACGAAAAAACATGAGAATGGCTCAAACAAATGATCAAGATGAGGAGCCAGAGAACGTTTCTGAGGAAGAAAAGATAATGGAACTAACTGAAAAAGAATTCAAAAGAATGCAATTCGAAACCACCAGCTGTTCTGTGGGAGAAAGATGAGGCTTTCTGCTCCCGTAAAGATTTACCGCCTCAGAAACCCTGTACAGGGTCACTATGAGTCGGAACCGACTCCACGGCACATAACAACAACAACAGCAACCGAAGGATCTATAGAAAGATCAAGGAATCAAGGAGAATACAATAAAAGAATTCAGGAAAACACTGCAAAAACAAACAGACAAGATAAATACAAATTTTGAAACAATACAAAACCTGCAATTAGAAATCCAAAAGATTAATACTAAGAGCTCAGAAATGGACAGTACACTGAAAGGGCAAAGTAGTAGATTTGAAGCAATGGAAGCCCAAATTAGTGAGCTTGAAGAATCTCTCGTTATAGGTATGTTAGAACAACAGTCAGAAAAAAAGAATGAAAATATCCTAAGAAAGTCTAAGAGTTATGTGAGACACCATGAAGAGATATGACTTATAGGTGATTGGAATTCCAGAAAAGGAAGAGACAGACAGAGAAAACAGTCAAAGAGTTGTTGGAAGAAAACTTCCCTAACATTATGAAGTAAAAGAAGGTAAGCATATAAGAAGTGGAACAAACCCCAAACAGGATAGATCACAAAAGAAAATAACCTAGACATATCTTAATCAAACTTACTCCAAAATCAAAGACTAGGGAAGAATCCTGAGAGCAATTCAGGAAAAACGAAAAGTTACCTACAAAGGAGAACCAATAAGACTAAGCTCAGATTTCTTAGCAGAAACCATGCAGTCAAGAATGATATATTCAAAACTCTGAAGGAAAAAAAGTGCCAACCCAGAATCATATATCCAGCAAAGCAGTTCCTCAAATATGATGGCAAAATTAGGACATTGCCTTATAAACAGAAATTAAAAGAATTTACAATGACTAGATCATCTTTGGAGTCCTGGTGTGGTGATGTGGGTTAATGCACCAGACTGCAAAGCCATTTGAACTGCCACCCTTGCAGTTCAAGCTCACCAGCTGCTCCTCGGAAACCCTATACAGGGTTGCTATGGGTCGGAACCGACTTGACAGCACTTCACAACAACAACAAGACCATCTTTACAAAAAATGCTCAAGGGTGTCCTTTGGACTAAGAAACAACAACAGCAGACAACAAACTGAGATTACCATACATCACCAGACATAGAAGGATTCAAAGTAAAACAAACCTACAATACTGAAAAGAGGGAACCAGAGAGAGATAACAATATATAATGAAGTCAACTACAAAACAAAAAGAGAGACTAGTACAGATATAGAACTTCTAAATGGCAAGGAAGTCAAGTCAATTTCAAGATAAAACATTGTTTTTAAGTGGGGAAAAAAGTGAATAAATACAAGGTAACTTCAAAGAAAAATAATACACCTGCACATCAGAATAAAAAAAAGAGGAAAATCAGATTTAGTAAGCATTAATACAACAGAGAAATTAAATTGAAAAGTAAACCCACAGACAAAATGAAGTCAGCATTTATATGGAACAAAGAATCCAATAGCACAACAAAACATTTAGAAAATGACAACAGTCAATTCATACTTAACTGATAATTACACTGAATATAAATGGATTAAATGTACCAGTCAAGAGATCTAAAGAGCAGAGTGGATAAGAAAACATTTTTCAATATACTGTCTACAACAGACCGCAAAAAAAATGAAGGCAGCCTAAATGTCTATAAACAGAAGAATAGTTAAACTTTGCTGCATACACACAATGGAATACTACAAAACTTTGAAGAAGAATGATTCTGAGAAGCACATCACAACATGGTTGAACCTAGAGAACATCATGTTGAGTGAAATTAGTCAATCATAAAAGGACAAACATTGTATGAGACCAGTGTTGTAAAAAGTTAAAAAAAAAGATTTTCCAGATAAAGAAAAAATCTGATGATTATGGGGATAAGGGGGAAGAAATTCATGAACTAGAGGGAAGACGCATGTTAACATGAGTGACAGAGCAGGCAATATACAACAAGAGGAGTTTAGCAGAGGAAAGATGAAGGTATCAGAAGACACAGAGAGGAATGCAATAGTTAAAAGAATAGAGGTAATGCTGTTAACTGTTGGTACCTGAAGGGGATTGCAACTACGTAATGAAGCAAAGTATGTGATTTGTTGAATGTAAAACTGATGATCTGCTCTGTAAACCTTCACTCAATTCACAATAAAAAGGTTTTTTTTAAAAAATTGTCAGTGATCCAGTGGTGCCACCTTTTTTCTTGTTTTTAAATACTTTATTCTGTTTGGGGAGAAATTTAACATAGTAAATTAGGTTTTCATTAAACAATTTCTATATATATGAGGGTAAGTCTGAAATTATTGCTTGCAAAATCCGAGACCTTCAAGAAAAAGGTCAAAATAGGAAGCTGTTGTTTCTTGACATGTCGATACACTTGACAAGTCTATACCTATACCCATCTAGGTCTATACACTTCTGAAGGTGATAGTTCCACTTTCTAACCCTTTTCCCCAAAGAATTCTGCACTCTTTGATTTGCACCATGTAGAAACAGCAGTTTTGGCATCCTTGAAGGATTCAAGTTACATTCCTTTTAAAGTTTTTTTTTTTTAGTTTGGGGAACAGAAAGAATTCTTACAGGGCACGATCAGGGCTATAGGATGGATGGAGTAAGGTTTCCCAAAGAAATTCTTGGCTGACAGAATGAGCCAATGCATTGTCATGATGGAAAAATTTCCTCAGTGCTATTTTACTGGCCTTTTTCTCACCAAAACAGTTTTCCATTTTATTGAAACTGCTTCATAATGAACCCCGATGCTATCCTGTACCCTTTGAGAAAATCTGACAAGATTACCCCTTTGGAGTCCAAAAAATAGTCAGCTTCTGAACTGGCTTTTCTGTTGTGACTTAACTGACCCAGCTGATCCCCTTGAAATCCACTCTTTTTATTGGATGTTTTTTGGATGCCACCCTAATAAAACTAAGACAGGTATTATTGGGAGAACTTGTCTGCATCTATCCACTGATTACAAAGACATTTTTAAACCTGTTTTATTTTAAATAAACCTGAGCATGTATGAACTATATAACTAGTAGCATTATCTTTTGACTTACTCTCGTATTGTTCAGTAGCATTGGTTATGCTGTTTATAATGTTATTTCCATTCCAGTGGTTCTGTTTCCGTTGGTCTAGCTTCCTTGTCTACCCTTACCGTTATCTGTGGTCTAGGGAAAATGTTACCCTTTAGGTCTCATTTCAGTGATTGTTTAGAGGAGCACAGTACTCAGTTTTTCAGCCATTCTGTCTTTTGGCTGATTGGTGACTACTGGGCATGGTTTGAGTTCAAAGTTTAGAGTATCCAGGACAGTAGTCTCAGAGATGCCTCTAGCCTATTGGTCCAGTAGTCTGGTCTCTTTTTTTATTAATTTGAGTTATGTTCTACAGTTTTCTCTCATTATTTCTGAGACCAACTGTTTGTCCCTGGTCATAGTAGTAGTGGTAGCCAGACACCTGCTATTATATCTTACTCCGATGATTATTTATTATTATTAATTTTTTGTCAGTTCGTTTTGTTTTTAATCCCAGAATATCAGAGTCTTGAAATAAGCTACTTTTTAAATAAAATATTTTGTGCTAGTGGGTTTGAGTTCATATAGAAAAAGAAATAATGGACTTCAAAAATGTATTGAATTATGGGATAGCCACATAATGGCTGTGATGCCACTGTAAGAACAGAATGAAGAAGATCTCTTGTGAACGGATAGGCATTGGTTTCCAGGATATATTGTTAAGCAAAGTGCAAAAGAGTATCTAGAATATGCTACAACCGCATCTTATGTAAGAACCCACTGCAGTCAAGTCAGTTTGTGTAAGAAAGGTGGAATATACCAAAGTACCCAGTTATCTACCCATTTGCAGAAAGGAGAACCAGAAAAAACTTGTTTATTTAATGATTTATAAGTCACATTATTAGAGATTGACAGCTTTAGTAACCTAAAAGTCAGAAAGCAAAATTCATAGAATTTTATGCAGCCTCCATTATGATAGTTAGTTAATAATTGTGCATATCAGTTTCTAACAGAGTGAGTTGCATAGCTGTAGGAGTGTATTAATACCAATATCAGTTGTTGAGTTACCGTTCTAGAAAGACACCTATAACTTCAAAGATTAAAAATAAGTATGTACATATGTCTGTCTGAGGCATATATTCTGCTGCGGTAACTTTCCTTCTACTAGGGTTGCAAAATTACTAACTATGGAGACTATGAGGGACTTTTTGTTGTTATAATTGCTAGTTTTAACAATCAATATTCAAATCATAGTAATTGAGCAATATTAAGTGTTCTATTTCTTGTGAAAAGTTTCATCTAAAAATAACTGGATAAAACAGTGTATTATCTTTTGATTTTAGGTGGGCTTGGATTTTACAGGATATCTTGGGGGTTGCTTTCTGTCTGAATTTAATCAAAACACTGAAGTTGCCCAACTTCAAGGTAGAGTATACTGCCTCAAAGATAAAGTATATTTTCTTTTTAAATTAACATTAAGAAGGTATAATTTACATACAGTAAAATGCACCTATTTTATATATACAGTTTATTGACACTTTACAAATATATAACTGTGTAATCACTATTCTCATCAAGTTATAGAATATTTTCATAATTTCAGAAAGCTTTATTATACACTTTGGCAGTCAAATCCATTCCCTTTCTTCCAGTCCTAGGCAACCATTGATCCAGCTAAAACATTTTTAGTCATTTATATAATATGCCAAATTCATTAAATCCTTGCAGAATGAAATTATCAGGGAAAGTGCTTCCCCCACCCCCCCACCCCCCCTTTAAACAAGTAGGATTAAAAAGAAAGAATTTTGATGTGGCATGTAAAATAAAGCTACAAATAATCACCACAAAATACCTTTTTTTAAAAAATAGTATTCAAAAGTAAATCACTTCAATAAACAGTATGAGTCATGACAAGCAACTTAGGATTTGAAATTTGTAAAATATTAAAATTCAGAGTTCTACAAGTTTTGAGTCACTACTTGAATGAATTAAGTCTCAAAAATGCATCAAATTAGAAATCATTAAGATATTGGTAAAATAAAAATGGTAGTGTTTAAATGTATGTTCACATGTTTTATTTGTCCTTGAAAAATCATACGATCTCTTAATTTAGCTATAAGAAGTGTGACCTGTATCTGTCTTTCTTCCGCAGTCATGTGTGATACTTCTGGGCCTTCTCCTCCTCTATGATGTGTTTTTTGTATTCATCACACCATTCATCACTAAGGTATGACCTTTGGGTTTTTGAAATCCGTGGAAAAACATGCTAAAAGATGAGACTCTTAAACTTGCTCTTAGACTATTGGTTTTGCAAATGTTTACCATTAAGTGAGTTCTCATTCTCTTTAAAATAATTATTGTTGAATTGGGCTTTTAAAAAAAGAAGTTTTTGTTTGTTTGTTTTCTTCAAGCTTTAAAACCATTTTGTTAGCTAAAAAATGTCTCCCATAAACATGAGGATGTCTGTAATTTGATTTCTTACTGTTTTTAAAAGAGCCCTGGTGTGGAGCTTTCAGATAAGCACTGGACTGCTAATTGCTAAATGGGCAGTTCATCCCACCAGCCGCTGTTCAGAAACCCCATACAGGGTCTCTATGAGTCAGAAGCGACTCGATGGCACTTAACAACAACAACTGTTTTTAAAAGTAACCTTTCTTATTATAAAGTAATAACTTCATTGTATGTAAACAATATAGACTGCAAAAAAAGAAGGAAAATCTGTTAATGCTACTTTCATTTTGTAGGCCTATGTTAAGTCTAAGAATGACCACCACATTAGAAGAATGAAGGCTAGGGTGTAGTAGCTTTGTTACCTTGTAACCCTGGGTAACTCACTTAGCCTTTTGTGTTATAGTTTCCTGACCCATTGTGTGAGAGGGTTATTGGCTAGCATTCCATATCTGCCTTCCATCTTCTTGGCCCCCTTACCCCATTTCTAGCTTTCTTTTGCTCCCAACTGATAGAACCCAACCTAAAAATGTTTCATATATCCAGACTGTGTCAAAAGAAACTAGACCCAGTGTCTCCTTTTCTGCTTCTGTTCATTTCTTCATTCTCTCAGACTGACTTTTTCCACAAATTTGGAATCATACTTAATTGGCGGCTCAAAGGTCATGTATTTCCAGCTCTGCCACTAACTCCTCAGTATAATGTGGTGCTATTCTCAGAATAAGTTAGGAGTGTTGGGTGAATGTGCTGTGCCTTCAGTATTTGCCCAGTTTTTCTACCTTGTCTTCATCCCTGTTTCATAGATATGTTATTAGTTATTGGTTAATTCTCCTACTGTCTCCATTTTATTTTGAGTATTTTATCTATCTTTAGTCACTCTCACATATTTGAATTAATCCCTACTTTTTCTTTATCATTAGTTCTTATCTATTATCTATTATTTAGACCCTAAATCTATGAAATCTTTCTAAAATTTTATACTTCTGATACTTGCTTTGATGGTATAAGACAAGCATTTGCCCTATTAAATTTAAATTTTAAAAACCACACTTTTGATCAAGTTTATATCAACTCATGGTGACCCTGTATATTTTAGAATATGTGTGAATGTGCTCCATACTGTTTTCAGTATCTGATTTTTCGGAAGTAGATCACCAACCCATTCTTCCAAGGTGCCTCTGGGTGAATTTGAACCTCCAACCTTTTGGCTAGCAGTCTAGTGCATTAACCATTTGTACCACCCAGGGACTACAATATTGCAAATAGGTAACAGATACACAGTGAAAGCTGGGACTTCACGGGACTACCTTGTTTGTCTGGGTCTCCCAAATGTTCTGCCTTTGTAAGGTACAGTTCTTAAACCACTTTTCGTATCACTCAGTTTAGTGGAAAATATTTGACAGGTTTCCTCCTTACACAGATTCTGACTTTCACAGGTTTTACTCTATTTAATTACTCCAAATTACAGCTACTCTTGCTATTACTATTGCCTTAGGCAAATGTGCTGCAAAAGACCTCTTTAAAGTATTCAAGAACAAAGATATCAGTTTGAGAACTAAGGTGTGCTTGACCCAAGCCATGGTATTTTCATTTGTCTCATATGCATGTGAAAGTTGGATAAGGAAGACCAGAGAAGAATTGATGCATTTGAATTACGGTTTGGGGGAAGACTATAAAAAGTACCATGAACTGCCAGAAGAACTAACCAATCTGTGTTGGAAGAAGTATGGCCAGAGTGCTCCTTAAAAGCCAGAATGGCAAGACTTCATCTCTTATGCTTTGGACATGTTATCAAGAGGGACCAATCCCTGGAGAAGGACGTCATGATTGGTAAAGTGGAGGGTCAGTGAAAAAGAGGAAGATCTCCAACAATATGGATTGTCATTGTGGCAACTGCAGTGGGCTCAAAAATAACAATTGTGATGATGTCACAAGACTGAGCAGTGTCTTGTTATGTTGTGCATAGGGTCGCTATGAGTTGGAACCGACTCAGTAGCACCTAACAATAACAACATGCTATTATGGAGCCCTGGTGGAGCAGTGAGTTAAACATTAGCCTGCTAACTGAAAGGTTGCTGGTTGAACTCATCAGCCCCTCTGCAGGAGGTGAGGCACATTGTTTCTGTAAATGTATACCGCTTTGGAAGTGCTATGGAGCAGTTCTACTCTGTCCTGTAGAGTTGCTATGAGTCAGAATTGACTCTACAGCCGCACATTTGGTTGGGGTATACTGTTTTATTTGCCTTCCATATTGTACTTCACCATTTACTTGCCTTTCATTTGGGGAACCTGGGTTCTGTTCTTGGCGAGTGCACATATATTGCAGCCAACACCCATCTTTCAATGAAGGCTTGGGTGTTGTTCTGATCCTGAATAGGTTTCAGTGGAGTAACACAGACTAGAAAGAAAGGCATGGAGATCTCCTCTGGTAAATCAGTGAATGAAAACCCTGTGGATCACAACAATCTAAGCTGTTACCTAATCATGGGGATAGCACAGGACTAGGCAGCATTTCATTCTGTCTTGTGGACGGTCATCATGAGTCTAGCCAACTGCATAGCAGTTAACAACAGCAACACTCTTTTTCTAGCACATTCCTACGCTCTAATGATTAGCCATTTGACTCTTTGGTTTCATTGAACAATTTGCTGTTTAGTTGCCATTGAGTTCATAAAATGGAATTGGCCATTGTATCATTTTGTAAATGCCAGACGTGTAGAGGCGAAATATTTAATGCATAAAAATATTCCAGATTTTAAAGTCACAAGGTAGTAATAAAGGTGTCTTTGAGTCTTCCTTCTTTATTCTTCTATGCTTAGGAAATTTTTCATCGTTTTCCCATTTTAGTTTCTATTGACATGAAATATAATTTCTTGTGTTGTCTGACACGAGAGAAAAGACTGAAGTACTCTTTACAGTTTACTGTTGTGGATTTTAGCACCTTCTTCTCAGTCTGATTTGTTTGTTTTTATTAAAGGTATAGATCTCACTTTAGTAAGTAAATCAAAATGAAACTCAGATATTTAATATCTGACTTTGTGGTTTTAAAGATTTAAGTATTAAATGTTGTAAATATGTTCTTGACTCAGGTATAAGTGGACTTCAGGAAGTATGGGGAATAAAAGCCTGTCGTATTTTTTAATCCACCATTGTACTTGGTGTAGTGTCTTGTAAATAATAAGTTACTCAAATATTTTTTAATCTATGAGAGGATTACAATGATGATCCTCAGTTAAATGGTTTAAATAATTAAAAAAGGAACCAAAGTTTACTGTTTATCCTGAAATTTGAGCAGAACCTAGGAATTTATTTTAAGAAACTGTATTCATTATCAGTTTATTTTCTTAAACTTTTTGACTTAACCCTCTACAACCCAAAGATTTCTGTGGTTGGGGATTTTATCCTTCCTACTTGGCTCAGGTTATCAGTGAGATTCTTTTTAAAACTCTCAAATAATTTCTCTTATGCACCCCACCCACATGGAAAATATTATAGTTAGTCAGTGACATTTTCCTAAAATTGAGTATTTGTGTGTCTTCCTATGACCGATTCTGCTGATACATTTTTCATAAGTGAAGCATAAAAATGGAGCTTTGTGCAATCTTAGCTTGCGACCTCAAAACGTTTCCCCTTTCCACAACAGACTTAGCTGTCAGGAAGGAACTTTTTATTGAACTCCTCACACAACACACATTAAAAAAAAGAAAACAGAGTCAGACACAGGGAGGGGAATTCAGTTAAGACTAATGTTGTGATTGGATCAGTGTAAGCAGGCAGGGCTGAAATTGGATGGAGTCAGGCTAGAGAAACTTGTGTTTCTCTAGCATGGGATTTTCAAGTTAGGCTTTATTGTTTTGTGATCTTGGTGAATAGCTAGAATGCCAATGTATACGTATTTAAATAAAGTTACCAATATTTCTTACAAAGCTAAATATAAAATATTTTCATACCTTTGTCTCCCTATTCGTGTTACTTGTAAAAATGACTTCTTGTTGTTCTGTGCTGTTGAGTCAGTTCCGAGGCTGTAATGACATATTACAAAGAGCACTTATAATTATGTTGGTAGTAGTTGTGTGCCATGGAGTTGGTTCCAGCCCATAGCAACCCTGTATAGGGTTTCCAAGGCTTTAAATCTTTATGGGAGCAGAAAGCCTCATCTTTCTCCCACAGAGTGGCTAATAGATTCAAACTGCTGACCCTGCAGTTAGCAGTTCAATTCATAGCCCACTATGCTACCAGAGCGTCTTACTTAAAACTATAGACTAATATAACTCCTAGGTATTATTGGTGAGGTGGTAGTCGGGGTTGTATGCCATCGAGTGGATTCCGACTCATAGCAACACTGTATAGGGTTTTCAAAGCTGTAAATCTTGAAAGCCTCATCTGTTTCCAGCAGAATGAGTGGTAGATTCCAGCTGGTAACTTTGTGGTTAACAGCCCAACTCGTAACCCACTATTCTACCAGGGCTCCTTGCTTATAGATTACTATAAATGTTAGATGTTATCATGTAAGAACAAATCAGCCTTCAGAGGTTCATTTGAGTAATCTATGCATGGTTATCAATCAATTTCTAGGAGTTGTTGAATTCTGATGAAGTGAGCAGTGTGCTAGGTGAATTTTGTTTTAGATGCCTTCCATTTTTGTTATCTACAGAGACTGTATTGGGAAAAACAGTCTATGGCCCATTTTAAGGAACCCTGATGATACACTGGTTAAAGCACTTAACTGCTGATTAAAAGGTCAGCAGTTTGAAACCACCAAACACTCCTCAGGAGAAAGATGTGGCAGCCTGCTTCCATAAAGATTACAGTTCTACTCTGTCCTATGGGGTCACTATGAGTTGAAATCTACTAAGTGGCAATGGATTTATGGTCTATTTTCCATCTGTTTATAATATGTCATGTGCCATGGTACTTAATACTGGTAGATTGTTTCCTTTAAATGATTGGACAACTTCTTTCATCTTCCTTCTCCATTTTAGAATGGCGAGAGTATCATGGTTGAACTTGCTGCTGGACCTTTTGGAAATAATGAAAAGGTAGGGCTAATGATGAATAGAATTGACTGCTCAGTGTATGTATGTGGGTCTAATTAATAATTTACCTTCCCATGTAATTCATTGGGTATATAGTGCATGTTAAGGTATTGTAAAACTTGAATTCTCACAAAAATATAGCCCTTTTCTTAGTTATTCTAGATTATTAAATACCTATTGACTTGGGTTTCATCCTAGAATGATGGAAACTTTGTGGAAGCCACTGCTCAACCCTCAGCTCCCCATGAGAAAGTAAGGACTGTATTTCAGATCTGTTCATTGGACTTTAAATCACACCCTCTTAAGACAAGACTCTGTTTTGGGGGTAAAAATTCCAGATTGCCAAAAAAAAAAAGAATGTTTCAAGGCCTAAATCCTATTCTTGTTTGTTTGGTTTTTTTACCCAAAGGTTAGATATGGGAATACTGGATTAATGCTATTAATCCTACATGTGTTTTGTGTTTCATTTTTCCAGTACTTCCTATCTTTTTCTTTCAAGCTTTCTGATTTTAAGTTCTTTTTAAATGTCAGTTTGAAATTGTGAAAGCAATTATTCTAATATCAATCCTTCTCTTTCTAAAAGATGTGGGGGAAGAACTCTAAGAGACTGAATGATTTCTTTTTTTTTTTTTTTTTTCCAGTTACCAGTAGTCATCAGGGTACCAAAGCTGATCTATTTCTCAGTAATGAGTGTGTGCCTCATGCCAGTTTCAATACTGGGGTTTGGCGACATTATTGTGCCAGGTAAGTAATAGTTCATAAGAATATCAGTAAAAATATACTGATGGTTAAAAAGCATGATATTTGTTAAAACTTACTTGATCTAAGGAGCTCTCATGACATGAATGGTTAAGCACTGGCATGGCTGCTAACCAAAAGGTTGGTGGTTAGAGCCCACCTAGCAGCTCGGCTGGAGAAGACCTGGTGAACTGCTTCCCTGAAGATCACAACCAAGAACAGTTGAGTGCAAAAACGTCTCTGTAAAACTTCAGGCAGTTCACAATAAGTTACCAAAAGATTACAACCCAGAAATCCCTTTGGGGCAGTTCTGCTCTCTCACACATGGGGTCACCATGAATCAAAATACACCCCACAGCACTTAGCAACAACAATCTGTATTAAGTATTTCTGGCTGTTGCTAAAGCTGTAATTAGTGACAAAGAAAAAAAAAGAACGAATTCAGGGATAGAAGATAAAGCCCAAATTTTTCTCCCATGGTTCAAAAAGTGTCTTTAGAAGGAACAAATAAGATCAATTTAAACTTCTTTCCCAAGAAAATACATTTAGTGAAAATGAGAAGATCAAGGGGCAGGGAAACTAGAGTACCAGAAAGGGAACAAACTGAACACAATTAAAGGAGAGTAAGGAGCTCTGGTAGCGTAGTGGTTACGAATCGGGCTGCGAACCTTAAGGTCAGCGGTTCGAAACTACCAGCTGCTCTGCGGGAGAAAGATGAGGCTTTCTACTCCCGTAAGGATTTACACCCTCGGAAACCCTGTACAGGGTCGCTATGGGTCGGACCCGACTCGATGGCACTTAACAACAACAACAACATTGAATCATTGTAATAAATGTAAATATCTATGTCTTCTCTCTGATTTTGCTAGTTCTACTTCAAGTGCTCTATAAAATCTTTTACAGGGTTGCTACGTGTTGGAATCAGTTCTACAGCAACACATAATATGGTACTTGACATAGAATTGGTAAAAGTAATATATCCTATGTTCTTGTAGTAAATGTCAAAGGTCCCAAACAAAACCAGTTTCTGTAAAGAGCAGTTTTTGATAATATATGACTTAAATCTAATTTTGGGGAAAAGTACCATTTTTTTAATGTAGAGATATGATTAAATAGTGAACGTACTAAAAATGATAAGGAACTTTATTAATAGTGCAGGGCCCCAAACTAATTAACTCAGAAGCCAATAAAATTATTTCATGCTTTTAAAACAGAAGGCAAACATTTTTAAGAAATCAAAGAAAATGTCATTCATACTGTTTTATAATAGTATTCATTTAATAAATACAGTTCTGGAATTTTTTTCTTTGGAGTGGTTCAACAAATTTCTTACAAGAAATAGGTAAATAAAATGAATTGTTTCTGCATACCTACAAACAAGATCTTATATTTCATTTTTATTTAAGGTATATATTAAAACACCGAACCATTTTATTGTCTTAGGAAGGGAGAGGTCTCTGATCACAATGTGAAATTGCCTTCCTGATTGCCATTTCAGTCTGATTTTCAATTATACATTTAAAAAATGTTCTCCATGACATGGAGTTTTGAACAACTAATAAAAGTCATGTTTTTAAAGACTGCTTAGTTAGTGACTTGAGAAAATGTTTAATTTTAAATGTTTGTAAATAAAGTCTACATGTAAAACTGCCCAGAATTCAAGAAAGTTACATATTTACTGTTGTAGTTAATAGTTGAGTTTGGGTTGTGTCATTGTTTTAAGAAAATAATGTAAAGTTTCTTTTAGGTCTGTTGATTGCATACTGTAGAAGATTTGATGTTCAGATTGGTTCTTCTATATATTATATTTCCTCCACAATTGGTAAATTTTTATTTTGTTCTTTATGTTATGTATTATCTGAATGTAAAAATGTCTAAAAATAAGGAATCCTGGATTCTCATTCTTTACCATTAAATAATAAGACAAGTTTTTTTTAATCAGGAGTAATAGTTATGCTTTACTACTTTCATCACAAGGTTTTGGAGGTTTAAAAAGGACATTAGCTGTGAAAGGAAAAGATTAGCTTGTACATACAAAATGCTTCTTAAAGCACCTTCCACATAAACACTCAACAAATTGTTTGTTACTAGACTTTTAAAAATAGTTACAGATAACTAAGTATTTATAGTAATAAATTGATGATGTGATAGTATCTCACCTACCTGGAACAGCAGAGGTAGTTTGCTACTTAGCCCTCTGTTTCTGTTACTAAGAGCATAGTTAAGAACAGGAAACGAGTAAAAAAAACAACAACCCATATTCTTACTATTTCTGAATATATCAAATAGATACCACAAATTCACTTACAAATCTCTTATATTTGGTAAATGGTTGATGTCAGCTAGCAAGGTTTTCAAGTTCACAAGGGAATTGAATCCAATAAAGTAAAAGTGTATACTAACAATAGAGAAGGGTGATGTTGGAAATAGATAACCTTGACAACAAGAAATAGCAGCTAAAGGAGCGAGTATAGGAAAACCATAAGTAAGTAAAATTTTTTAAAAATATGTAAACTATTTTAAAATCATAAGAAAAACAATCTGAATATAAAAATATTAAGTATTATATTCCCCAAGGGCCTTAACATATAAGACTGTAGTACCAGTAAATACAATAAAATACAAGGGCACTCAATAATAAAAAGGCAGACAATAGGAGTATCCTTCAATTCTGCTCTATTACCTAGAGCAATTTACTTAACTCTCATCCTCCATTACCTCATGTAGAAGATGAAGGACTGGACTACAAAGGCTCTTCTAGCTCCTGTATTTTGAGATCCTGTATTCATAATGAGAAATTGAGTCATTAAGAAAAGATTAAATGACATTTGGTATGTACTTATTTAAAAGCCTAGGATATGTATAATTGGCATTAAGAAGATTTCTCAAAATAGCCTATAGTACTTATAGATGCAAATTTTAGTAATCCAAAATATGACAGATAATAAAGAAATTCTGTAGTGATTATATGTATCAACGATGAAAGATTAGGTTAATAAAATGTCAGTTTCTAAATTTTTCAAAAGATTTGTGGATTATCTCGTCTAATTACTGTCTATAGAAAAATAATGAAATTTTGAAGACAAATCATAGGGCAAAAATGTCCTCAGACATATTTGAAAACCAAACTTCAGTAAGGCAGAAAATCACTGTCAGTATCATGTAGAAATGACTTATACTTGGTGTTCTTCTTGCAGCCTATGCAGTTGGTATGATACTTACATTTGTTGTTCTGGTACTGATGAAAAAGGGACAACCAGCACTCCTCTATTTAGTACCTTGCACTCTTATTACTGCCTCAGTTGTTGCATGGAGACGTAAGGAAATGAAAAAGTTCTGGAAAGGCAGCAGCTATCAGGTATGTACTTAAGCTTTACCACGTGAGCTTAGGATGTCATTCACTGACTGGGAACTGTATAGATGAGTTACTTTAAATCTGTCAAGGTACCGTAAGTTTTTTCCACTGCTACCCCTTTATGGTAAGGTGGAGGGTCAGAGAAAAAGAGGAAGACCCCCAATGAGATGGATTGGCCAAGTGGAAGCATCAGTGGACTCAAGTGTGGCAACAGTAGTGAGGTTGGCCCAGGATCGGGCAGTGTTTCATTCTGCTGTGCAAAAGGTTGCTATGGGTCGGTACCTACTCGATGGCACCTAACAACAACAACAGCCCCTTTATGGAATTTTATGTGGCGCTGTAGGATCAGCACTGGACTGCAAACCACACAGTTGGCAGTTCAAACCCCCCAGCTGCTCCTCAGAAGCCCTGTATGGGGCAGATGTGAGTCGGAATGAACCCATCAGCACTTAACAACAACCCCTTATCCACTGCTCACCTGCCTACATCATTTCTCACCCCACTGAAATCTAATGCCAAACCGAACTGCCAGGAAAAGTGAAAAAGCATCAGAGAAAATAACATTTCATCTTGAGTTCAAAATACACACAAAAGTAGACTTCATGAAAGATAAAAGTCTACCTTTAAAATAAATCCTGAATTTTAAGACTGACATTAGTTGCTTTTAGTATGAATCCTAAAGTTTTACAGATTAAAAAGTATGCTTACCCTCTTCCATATCTAAAAGGGCCTAACTAAATTTGTCAGGGTATTCATTTTAGATTTACACTGGACAAGGTTGACCTTTGTTGAAACCCCAGAATAGAGACAACCTTGATATCATAATCTTCTATATTTGAGTAGCTTCTTAATTGAAGTTAAGTTCCTTTCTAAATGAAGAAAAGGAACATAAGAAAAGACCTAAATGTTCTTGATATTCCCATAAAGTTTGTTTGCACTGAAATTAAGGAGGTTGGGAATTCTTAGGCTGCTGATAGGTTAGGACCATGGCATTGACCCCTCTGTGAGGCAGTTAACTCTGCTTTGCCCTATTACAACAGCTTACCCTCCTCCATCCACCCTCGTATCAGTGATCACATGAACAAAAAGACAGACACTTTGGGTGGATGACTGTAATTCTACTACTAGATAAATAGCTCAAAGTTCAGGTCTATCCAGTGGTTTGCCTATAGTATCATCTTTATTCATAAGAAGAGTTTGACACATTAAATTAGACATACTATAACTATAATCTAGAATGATTTGGGGTAAATCTCTTCATTTTTTTGAGGTTTGTGTATATGTTAGGTGCCATCGGGTTGGCTGCAACTTATAATGACCCTAGGCATGAGAATGAAACACTGCCCAGTGCTGCACCATCCTCACAGTTGTTATGTGTAAGTCCATTGTTGCAGGCACAGTGTCAGTCCATCTCTTTGCGATTTAATAATACCAGCCTTGCCTATCTCACAGTGTTATTGCCTTAACTTACATTAATACACATGGAGTCCACTTATGACCACAAGATCCTCAACTGAACTAGTGACATAGCCTTTAACTTTTCTCTTAAGGTAATACCCACATGGTGGTGGTGGTGGTGGTGGTGGTGGTGGTGATGTGCCATGGAGTCAGTTCTGACTCAACAGCAACCCTGTATAGGGTTTCCGAGGCTGTAAATCTTTATGGGAGCAGAAAGCCTCATCTTTCTCCCGGGGAACAGCTGGTAGTTTCAAACTGCTTACCTTGAGGTTCGCAGCCCGATTCGTAACCACTACGCTACCAGAGCTCTTTAATACCCACATAGAGTTTCTTATTTTTATAGATTTTTTTAAATAGAAGTATATCCTACAATAGACAGTCTACTGCTAACCTTTGAAAATCACATCCTCAAAAGTGATCTGCATTATTTTGTTTTTTGTTTCTGAGTTCTTCATTTAGCAAATGTTTGTGGAGCACTTCTGTGAGTCAGGTGCTATTTTAGGTGCTGGTGATACAAGGTGAACAAATTAGAAAGAGGTCTGCTCTACTGGCCTCTTAAAAGAGTATAGTGGGAGGGAACAGATAAAGGCACTAACAATAGGAGGTGTTACTACTGTTGTTAAGTGCTGTTGAGTCAGAAGCAACTCATTGCGACTCTGTATAGGTTTTCCAAGGAGTCAATGGTGGGTTTGACTTACTGACCTTGTGATTAGCAGAGCAGTGTTTATTTCTACAGCATCACACCAGGACTCCATATTGCAGTAAATCTTTGTTTACGTTAAGATTTAAATTTGGAGATTGTTTAGAGCAAATGGGCTATCTTACAGAATTTAGTATGTTTCTCGGTACTTTAATCACCACCATTTCATTTTTATTTATAGCTATTTCCTTTCTCCATAATGTAGCTCTTCAAGTATTTTATTATATTAAAAAAGTACTTATTGTAAACAATTTTGAAAATACAGAAAAATACTTGAAACTTAGGTCCATTCACAATCCCACCACTTACGAGATATGTGCCTTCTGTCAATAAGTAAATTGGTGGGTGGATGATGTTGTTGTTGTTATTAAGTGCTGTCAAGTCAGTTTTGACTCATATCGACCCTATGTAGGATTCCCAAGGTGAGTTTGAACTGCTAACCTTGCGGTTCAAACCGACTTTGCAGTCCAGTTCATTAACCTATAGCACCACACTTTAAAGAGCTCTCTATTTTGCTTTTTTCACTGCATGTTTTTTTGCTATTCATTTTAAATTCTATATTAAAATAATTTTAATTGTAGTGTAATATACTCTCATACTTTGTTACCATTTCCTTATGACATAGTAGTTTCTCTCTTCAAGGATGTGTAGCAAAAATTATTTAAAATCTGGGTATAATTAGATGTTCATTACAATATTTCTAGTAATCCTTGCTCTATATTAGGGATGTTGTTGTTAAGTGCTATCGAGTCGATTCTTTCCCATGGCGACCCTGTATAGGGTTTCCGAGGAGTAGCTGGTGAGCTTGAACTGCCGAACTTGCAGTTCAAACAGTTTTACAGTCTAGCTCATTAACCCACAGCACCACATGGGGAACTTTTTCCTGCCAAAATTATAGCATTATTTGCAGGCAAATACAATTGTCAGCTTAAAAATTAGCCTGCTGTATTTGGTCTAACATTTAATTCACTTAATGCACCAGACTGCAAAGCCATTTGAACTGCAGGGTTGGTAGTTCACACTCACCAGCTGCTCCTTGGAAACCCTATACAGGGTTGCTATGGGTCGGAACCAACTCGATGGCACTCAACAACAACAACAACAATGTAATGACTCCTGGTGTGGTGTTGTAGGATCAGCACTGGACTGTGAACCTCTTGTTAGATAGTTCAAACCCCCAACTGCTTCTCGGAAACTCCATACAGGTATGCGATGAGTCATAATCGACTCAACGGCACTTTACAACAGTGTGATGGCTGGAACTGTGGTTGCCTTGGCAGGGCCAGACCAAGTGATTTCAAGGGTCTTATACAGCCCATGGAGTCCTGGTGTGGTGCTGTGGCTTAATGGACCAGACTGCAAAGCCGTTTGAACTTTAAGGTCAACGGTTCAAGCTCACCAGTCACTCTTTGGAAACCCTATACAGGGTCGCTATGGGTTGGAACCGACTCAACAGCACTTAACAACAACAACATACGGCCTGTGGGCTGGATATTCCCCACCCCTGCTTTAAATCTTCACATGAGCAAAAAGCCTCATCTTTCTTCTTAGGAGCTATGGTGTGCTTGAACCGTGAACCTCATGGTTCATAGTTCTGGTGCTTATCGTATAGGGGGTCTCTGTTAAATCTGGTTCTCTAACATTTGTAAAAGGATTTGATAGGCATCCTAAGTCTCAGGTAACAAATTCTGTTAGATTCATCATTGCCTTCATGTGCACTAAGTTTAAAATATGGTGAGTAGACAGTTTACTAAAATTTTAGACAAGCTAATTACAAATGTTAAAAATTCAATTACTGCCAAAAGAGAGCCAATTTTTTCCAGAAAACTTAACAGTTTTGAAAGTTATAGAATACAAAACCTTTACAAAATGGTTTTCCTGTGTTTGTGAGAAGGAAAATCTCTCATGAATTTTTTTTTTTTTTTAACTTTTTGTGATTTGTATGAAAGTTTACAGATCAAATTGGTGTTCCATTTAACAATTCTACACATTCTGTTTTATGACATTGATTGCAATCCCCACAACATAACAGCACTCTTCCTGCTTCCTCCCTGTGTTTGCTGTTTCTATTTGCCCTTTCCTATCCATTCCTGCCTTCTGAGCGTTGTTGTGGCTGTGAAGGGCCGTTGAGTCAGTTCCGCCTCTAAGTGATCCTGTAAAGGGTTTCTGAGGAGTGGTTGGTGAGTTTGAATCGCCGACCTTGCAGTTCAGATCGACCTTGCAGTCCAGTGCATTACCCTGCAGCGCCACACCAGAACTCCTAATGAACTTTATCCCTTGGCAATCGCTGTTAATACTGATCTCTTACATTTGATTCTTCTAAGGATTGTGTACCTCCCTGGTACTGTTGTTTACCTTATGGTGGTGGTGGTGGTGGTTATATGTCATGGAGTTGCTTCTGACTCATAGTGACCCCATACAGGGTTTCCGAGGCTGTAAATCTTTAGGGAGTAGAAAGCCTCATCTTTCTCCTGCAGAACAACTGGTGGTTTCGAACTGCTGATCCTGAGGTTAGCAGCCCGATTTGTAACCACTGTGCTACCATAGCGTCTTTGTTTACCTTATAGGCCAGTCTGTTGTTTGAGCCACAGGAGAAGTTCAGTTCCAGACTGGAAGTGTGTCTAAGGGCCATAGTCGCGGGGGTTCCACCAATCTGTCAGACCAGTAAGCCTGGTCTATTTTACGATTTTGAGTTTTGTTCCACATTTTTCTCATACTCTATTCAGAACTCCTACAGTGGTAGCCAGGCTCCATCTAGTTCTTCTATTCTCGGGGTAATGGAGGCTGGGGTTCAAGTGGTCCATTAGTTCTTTGGACTAATTATTTCCTTGCATCTTTGATTTTC